GCTGAGTCACATGGGCACCACTGTTGAAGCCCTTTGATCCTCAGTGGTTTTACTCTAGTTAACAGCAGCTGAAGATTTAAGTCTTTTATACCTAACACTGGTTAAATCCAACTCATGACTGAGTTTTCAAAGCCATTGTTACAAATCATTAGTCATGCAAATATAGAGAGATCAGAGTTTTAATTGCCAAACAGACTGTAGTATTTCTAGTAGATGTGCACCGAAACTGGAGAATATGAATTTTTGCAAAGTTGGGAGTACTTGGATTTAGGGGTTTTGTGCAGACCCTTTCAGAGAGAAGATCCATCTGTGAAATTCACAGCTGGATGTACGCCCAGATTCCTGTGCTTGCAAAATTGAAGCATGGGGACTTGGAGCGATGAGTCAGACAAAACTGCATTGTTTATACATTTTAGGTTGGCTTTTACCTTCCTCTGGTTTTTTCTTGGAAAACAAAGAAAAAGTTACATTACAAAACAAGAAAGCGTGTGAAAGTCAACAGCTTGTTGAATATTCAAATTAGGAGCTAATATGCTGGGAAGGGATTTTTATGATCTTCAAGTATTTGTTCTTCTTCTGCTACCTCTGACTCTCCTGCTGGCACGACTACAGATGTGCTGCTTGTTTTTCAAATCACAGAAGTAGGAATGACCTATTAGGTCATCTGCTACCTCTCATAGCCAATGCAGGATTGTCCTCTTGTACATTTGTCCAGTCTGCTTTTAAAATTCCTCTAAACACATTCTGCATCCAAATTAGAGCACAGAAGTCTCTTGGAACTGGTGAGTAAGCAGCACTGTAAAATGACCAGAGAGTATAAGGCCATACCAGCTTCTGCTGGGCAAAAAAGCAGCTTGCACTATTTCGAGTTCTCGCAAGAAAACTAAATTTGATGGGAAATACGGATGATTCATCTTCAATTTTTTAGTTTTTATTTTAAAATGTCCAGGGATTTATAAATAATAATTATTATTCTATTTTCATAAGAAACAAAGTATGAAAAGCAGGAGGAAGAAAAATGTATTTTAAATTAATCACCTACAGTCTTCATTCTTGTGAGAGAAAAGATCTATACAGACAAAAAGTCCTCCATCAACTGTCCATGCTGCCTTGCAGGATTGTGACCTTAACTGGAAAAGTTCTGCTTGTGTAAATAATGCTGAGAATCCAGCCATTTTTCTATAGTAGAAGACTTTATAACTGGCTTTCAGTTTGCACCATAAATAGACTGTATATCTTTAAGATGGTTATTCTTGCCAGGCATTTTATTTCACAACAGTTAAAGAAATGTGCAGATGTTGTCCAAACTTTTCAAAGCAGCAGGGCTCTATGCAGCTGCTTGCAAGATTTCAGAAGTGTAGTTCAAAAGTGGCTCAAGCTGCCTTTCTGCTAGCCATCGCAGCAGGAGCAGAGTCCTCCCATGTATTATATTGCACTTTAAAGCGAGAAAAGACCCCTACCCTTTTCCCACTTTTGCACATTCTTAACACCATTTGTAACAAATGAAACTGTGAAGAGCAGCAATGCCAAACCCAGGCATTCAGGGTTCATGAGTCAGGCCATTAATAATCATGAGATTGGTTTTAAAATCATGCAATCAACCCCCCGCCCCCAAAGTTGCGTCATTTTTGTCTGCCTGGATTTTGAAAGGCCAAAACACCAAGGTTCATATTTTTAATGTTCTGTTTTTTCTTGGATTGGACTTCAAAAGATCATTAAGAAAAAATAACTCGTATTTTGCTGCAGTCACCTGCACAGGGACTTTTAAATCGCTATAAATATTCCAGGACTCACAATGAAATTGTGCAAAGAATTAGCAAAATCTTTGAGCTGCCATGTGGATGTGAGCCAGTTCACTGGTTACACTTACTCAATTACACTGTGCTAATTTTAAAGGGGAGATAACAGGATAAACTGTCAGGCCAAATACATACCTAACTGCAGGTTCTGTCTATAGTTGTCAGGGAGGGTAGAACTGCCCTCAGCAACGCATCTTTCTAATAAATGAATCCCGCAGATTGCATCATCTTTGCTGGAAGTTACTAAGACTAGGATTCATTTTAAGGTGTTCAACATACAAAGCAAGCAGGCTGAGCTCACGGAATTGTCGCCCCTGTGAAAATCCCTTATATGATGTATGCTGTAGCTACCCCTACAAGTTTAGCTAGCTTAGTGGCACTGGCACTGCTGGTGAAACCCTTCTTCCAATGCAGACATAGTCATCCCAGTACAAAAGCCTTCCAGTGAAACAGCTGGTGGTGGTTCCCTGACCTGGCATAAGCTGTGCTGATTCCAGCATTTTTACACCAACAGAACTGTGTCTATACAAGGGCTTTTACCATAATAGCTGTGTTAGCAAAATAAAAAAAAAAATCAACCACCTTAACCAGCATAGCTATGTGGTAAGCTGCCTAAGTGTAAAACAAGCCTTGTTAAAGGTTTCCAGAGTGTGCTTCTCTGGTTCAACGCAAAATGGTGAATTTAGCTCTAGAAGGAGTTAACCCCCTTTCCTGCTTTGCACAGTTTTGTCATAAGCCATTTCCTATCCACACATTTCTTGCTTCTCATCTTCAAATACTTAAAACATGTTGATCAAAACAGTTATGATTTTGACAGGACAGAAAGAATTTCTGTGTAAAACACCCTGTGTCATCCCTAGCTGACAGGACAACCACTGATTCATTTTCCTTACATTCTGTACTCACTCATATGACAGCTTTGCTCTGTCTCCAGACTTTGCCCTAAGAAATGCGGGTGTTTCTAATAGACACACCTGTTCTTGGTGACAAGTAGCGTATTACTTGCCAGCAATCAATCATTCACTTCTAGAAAGCAGGTAGTATTCTTTGATACGTATAGTATGAAAGGAATGAGTCTGGTGGAAAGACAGAAAAAGGAGAGAGCAGCTCTGACAACCCCTCCCTTTAGTGCAACACGTGTTTTAACAACCTACAGCACAGCCAGTGCTGCCCCAGCTCCTGCACAGGCAGGTGACAGCTTCATGTGCCTTTGGTACCCCCATGTCTGTGCCAGGGACGCAGCTGGGGGGGACCTTGCAGCCTGGGATCCCCTAGGCAAGTTACAGTTTTGCCAGTGACTTTTTGCAAGTCCCTTAAAAGCTCTGTGCCCCATTTCACCCATCTGTAGGAGATGGGGAAAAAGCTTGTCTGCTTCTTTTTGCAGTGGAATTATTTTAATTCATTACCTTTTCTCTGCACTGGATAAATAGTGTCGCTGGACTGAAAAAGTTATAGTTGTTATCCCTTTAAACTGAAAGTGGATTGAAGGAATAAAAGTAAATGTATGATCTATTTTGGCAGAAGTCTTCCAACAGATGGGTGTCTATGGTCTTTATAAGAGCTGTCTGCTGTCTGTGATTCAGACTGTCTAAGGAATGCCATGAGCGTGGAGTAAATGGACAGCAAGTCTGGGAAAGGACTTTATTGTGGTTTAGAAGCTTTCAATTCCCAACTGCATGAACAAGTTCTTTTTTTCAAATAACTCTTTGTCAGTATTTCAAAACTATCATTGAAAATTGCTTGATGCCTTCCGAAAACGGGGTGCTTTCTGCTGATAGCAGTCCACAGGCTTAGCCTTCAAATGGTGGCATGCCTTCCACCAGCAAATCGCTAGAATTGGAGTTTATTGCCCTGGTGCATCAGTTCGTGGTGGGACCCTGCCCATCGAGGCACTGAGAGCGTGTTCACGTATCCATCCTGCAGTGTCAGTTCTTGGCGGCAGTGCCCGTGGTCTCCTAATGGAGTCTGCATGTTCTTTTGAACAGGAAATGCTTTGTAGCACAACTTGCCTGTGGGCACTTACTGCACCAATTAAAGATTCCTGAGCTAGAGAACAAAGAGGTGCCAGTGGAACTATGGTTTTAATCACTTGATTCATTTTCTTCCTTCCTCCACTGCTGATTTTAGATGTATGGGTTTTTCTTTTTTTTGCTTTGCTTTGTTTTGCATATTTTTAGGCAGCAGGACAGCTGCTCAGAAAGACTGCTGGGGAAAGAGCAGTCTTGAAAAGGAGCTGGATTTGTCTGAATTTTCAAAGAGCAAATAGTTTCTAGTGGTGAAGAAGAACATCAGATGCCAGCCCGCCATAACAATACAAATACTTAGTTCTTATTCAGGTATGCAGTGTTTTGTTCTGAGAATGCATGTGAGGTTTAGTAACATGAATGAATTAAATGTTTAACTGTACTAGAGGGAAGGATAACCAGATACTTTTCAATAATGGCAAACTGAGGTACAGGGAAGTTAAATACTTTGCTGAAAGGCCAAGCTCAGTTGCAACCCAGCAGACTTTCCTCCTGACATACTGGTCTTTGTACTTCCTGACAACAGGCTACAGGTTTTTGGGAGCAGAACCACCTTTTTGTTCTCTTTTCATATTGCCCATAGAAAAGCAAGACTCTGGCATATGATTGGGGCACTCAGATCGTAACGCAAGACAAGCCCACAATAGCAGTAATACAAAAATAAAGCATGTAGTGTACTCATGGAGAGCTGTAAGGTCCCAACAGAGAACAGAAAATCTGGAATAAAGTGAGTCAGAGCTTCAAGAATGAGTCTGATGAATACATGAATTTGCTAGAGTGTTTGAGCGAAATGTTTTGGAGAATGTACACGCTTCACTCTTAGTCAAACTCTGCCTGAGCAGAAATGACCACACCTTCTATGAAAAGTAGTTCTAATTAAAAGCAGAGCATGGCTTTTTTGATGCAAATTTTTGCTCTAACTAAACCACAGCCCATTTGCAACATTCAAATTCACTCCTGTCTAAAATGCCAGGAAACAGGAACGTATCCCCCTCTGCCCTGTACTGCTATTTTACTCTGTGCATGGACACATGAGGAAAAAAACTACAAACCAAACTAAAACATACTCCTACAAAGCCACCATCTTCTGTGCTTTCTGGGGATGAAATCAATACGGTGTTAAGAGAGAAAAAGGGCTTCTCTACAGGCAGGCAGGTGGCCGGACCCCTGGCCCCTGCTAGTGCGGCTCTGCAGCTCTGTAATGCACAGAGGGCTTAAAACTGCCTTCACCATGCAGCTGAGGTTCCCGCAGCACAGGGAAATCCCCAGCTGGCAGCAAGCTGACAGAGCTGGCTTCCTGCCACCCCCTCTGCCATCCGCCGTGCAGGGGCTGGGGAGGGCGAGCAGGATGCTCACGAGGTGCTGGCACCCAAGCCAAAGCCCTACGGACCACGCCGGCTGTGCGGGGGAACCCTGTGTGCTGCCTCTCCTCCTGGCCGTACTGACCCTCTCCTCCCACCCACACACGCACGTCGGTTTTCCCGAGGAGCACACAGGGCCAGCGCGGATGCAGAGTGGGCTGCGCACTGCAGCGAAGGCGGCGAGAGAGCAAAAACGGCAGGAAAGAGCTCAGTCCCGACTGCCGCTTACTCAGGGCTGACACAGTAGCTTTGCTTCTTGGGTCCCCAGGAGACCTGGGGTTTCCTGGAGGTACACTCTGCTCAGGCTTACGCCTTACAGCTACTGGCCTAAGGAGAAAAAAGCTGGTCAGAAAAGAAAGATTATTCCTGAACGTGGAGGAAAGAAGGGATTTGCATTTGATTTCATGCCACTGTGGAGACAGACTATGGATTTTCTTTTTGTTGAACAAAAGAACACAAAAAGAAAACGTAGTGACCTAATGCACTCTGAATGGTCTTGGATGAGACCCATGGTCAGGGCAATGGTTACTGTGGTGGGGAGCAAAACTGCACAAATTAGCACATTGCTCTTAGTGAAGGTGATCGAAAGTGCTGGGTGATTTACAAGCACCGCACTGCACACCCTGCAGGTCCATTTTTTAAAGAAATATCTACTGTGTCTGAAATTTTCTGTGAAATACATGAGTTCACTACGAAACATCTCTGCTGATCGGCAGTCTGATAAACCACTACACCAGCATCTGCCTTGCTTTTCTCCTCCCCATTAAAGATAACTGGTGTACCAAAAATAATTTAGAGCTGCTGTATCAAGCAGACAGTTCTGAGTGTCAGATGTGGTTAGATAGTTACTATTTCAATAATGACAACCATTTTTCTTTGTAAAGTAAAAAGCACACAACGTGACAGCTGAACCAAAAAGAACTAAATCTAAGGCAGGCAAGTCGATAACATTCAAGACAACAGCTACACATCCATCATTTGTATACGGAAAGAGCCTAACACCACACTTGACACTTAATCTCCACAAGGCACTTCTAGATCCTGTCGCATCTGAGTGCTTTAGAGTCTGTGATGTATTTATCCCCCTATTGCTCTTGTCACACGATCCTCGTATCTCTGTGTTGCAGATGGGGAACTGTGGCACACAGCAGCTGAGTGGCTTCCCCGGGGCTACAAAAGAAACCTCTGGCTCTGCAGCATGAGCATGGGCAGCCCATGGCACGACCAGTGCCCCAAGCCCTGCGTCCCCCTCTCTCTCAATCCTGCCACACCAAGGGATTTTGGATGATGCTGCAAATAACTAAATTTTTAACTGTGCGTTAAAGAGCTAATCTAGTTGCTCTAAAGGTCTAAGTTCTAGTTTTTAACATATTTCTGTGGTTGTTTGTGGAACTTTTACCATTGTGGGTGGTTTTGGTTATGAATGATAATAAGATGAGGCCTCAGCTGAAATGTGTGGAGCACTGTCTCACCCTACGGCTTTCACTTGCATTTGAAGCTAATCACTGCTTGCCAGCATTAGCCCAGACACCTGATGCATCCTGAAGGATCTCCTGACCATGGCTTATCTTCACTCCCAAAGTATTTCCAACAGTAATGAATTTCTGAGGCAGAGATGTGAAACAAAGGTTTCTCTGCCAATTCTTCACGAATAGTCCCTTCCTCTGGGGATTCATTTACACTATTTGATATCAAAAAGTTACAGATATTTTTTTTTTGACAGAGAAATATGGAGGTATATGGAGGAATGTGTATATGAAGGTATACATATGTGTGGCAATGTCTAACCTGCATCAGTCTCCTTAATGGCTGCATTTCCAAATCCAACCTCTGTGACTTTACAGCTAGAGCCTTCCTTCCAGTAACTATGCATTTCGTAATTCTGTCTGGGAGCGGAAAGCTGAAGTTGCAAGGCAGCTGCATAGGCTGGGCTGGGCACCTCTTGCTTTGAGGTAGCACCCACAAGAGGAGAATAGGGGCAAATATCTCCTGCTGAGAAAGCACATGGCAGGTCTCTACATCTGCAGTATAGTCAGAAATGAGCTACAGATATGCAAAGTTACCATTAAGGTAGCCAGTACGGATGGTACCAGTTGTGCAGCTACTGGACAAAGAGGTCATAGCACATCGCAAATCCAACCTGAGAAGTCAGGTAAATGCTTGCCATCTCCTGCCTTCAGTTTCATGCTGTTTCAGCTACATTGCTGGTGCTATTCAACCTCGTGAGCTTACAGCTTTGTGAGCTATGGTCACACATTTGACTGCAATCCTCCTGCGGAGGTGGAAACAGCTCTTATCTTTACAAGGTAAGGACAGCTTAAGTGTGCTAGGTCCCTGTGGAGCAGTGATGGCTCTGAGCAAAGAGCAAATCACGATCTCAAGAAGAAGGACAAATACTTGGTTTTTTTACAGCAGGGAAGATAAGAAAATAATAAAGGGTTCTGCCAGCAGTGGCAGCAGAAAGCTGGAAGAGGTAAAGAGAAGTAGCAATTGTGTTAGCAATGAGACGTTCTTCTCTGGGCACATCCAGGAGAGCTGAAAGACTGGGACAGCACAGCCACTCTGAGAGGCAACAGCTTCAGGAATGAGGAACTGACAGAGCGGGGCTTGTCCCAGGTCACTCAAGAATTTCATGCCAAAGCTCAGAATAGAAGCAAAATCCAGAAGACCAAGGCTGCACGTTAACCACGAAGGCAGAGGACAAGAGTTGACGAAAGGAGGTCACAACCATAGAAAGGGCCGAAAGCTGGACTGTCAGCAGAAATAAGAAGAAAGAACAAAGGAGAGGGAGGAGGAAGATGGGGGAAGTGAAGCAGAGAGAAGGGAAGCGAGAGACGCCGAAACAGTGTTGCCTAAGACTCTGTGCATCACTGGCAGTGCAGCGCACTCATGCCAAGCCTGGCTGGGGAACCATCATCTCAGTATCTATCCATGAAAAATCACAGCAAGACCTAACAGCTCACTTTATCTCAGAAGAGCTCTCCGGATAAAAGGGATTTGAGAGTGAAGCCTCCATAATCCTTTGGGTTTGCTGTCTTTTAATACTATGAAGCACAAAAATAAACTTTCTAGTTAGGAAAAATATGGCTTTTGTTATTTTCTGAGTCACTTTTCCCCAGCAGCAAACAAAGTGGCTTTTCAATTCAAGTCCTGAACATTTCAGAATGAAATGTTTTGCAAAGTCCCAAAGTAAATCAGAATTCTCCAAGTCACACTGCTAACTAATGTAAACTCACTGAGGTCAGTAAAGCGACTGCAATGTGACCCATCTCGCCTGGCCTAACTTGGGTGGCGTAATCGACAGATGAATCTCTAGTTGAAATCAATTCAGGATGATCCAGTCAGCTAAGCAGAAGCCTGGAATCTCATTATTAACTTGCTGCTATTCTGCCTAACGGTTCTGCTTAACACAGAGGTCGAGCGCATCCCTTACGAGCTATGCTACAATTAGATGTTACTGGCCTGATTCAAAACTCAGTGAAATTAACTTTGCAGTCCATTTGGGGAGTTCATTTAAGCGGACTTTGGCTCAACTCTAAAGTCTGCTCACTTTAAGATTCTTTCTTTTTTATCTGTTTTACAAGGTTTGTACCAAGTATCTTTAGAAACACGGAAGAATCTCTTAGCTTCTCGTATTATAAGTACCTTAAAACATAGTGCTCAATTTTACTATTAGAAAGATTATCCTGCTTTATTATCATGCCCCATTCCCTGAATGGGAAGTGGATTTTACTTAGCTATTTTCTTGCAGATCCAGCAAATCTCCTAAATGAAATTCACTGTTAAAACCTAATTCAACGCTCCTCTTCAGACGAGGGGACCAGTAAAAACCCTCCAGATTTTACTGTGGTGGCACCAAAGCTGTATCAACCACATTTCAAACACAGACTAACAGAGAAAACTAAGCACTACTCTGCCCACAAAAGCAGCAATGAAGACTGTACATGATACGGCCACAGAGCACTCAGTACCTAAGTCAAAGAAAACAGAACTTTCACGGGCACTATTTCACAACTCTGTGTGAGTAACTGCACGAAAAATCCCAAACTACTGTGTGCCCATAACGGTGCACATTCACAAGACCAAACCACGCATGCAATTGCCTAGACTGAGAGGACAGCAGCAGTGAATATATGTGAAAATCATGTCTGTACTTCATGCATAAGAACACCCTATATCTGCAGCAATATATTCAGCAACCTCACTCTGCTCCCACTAAAATCAACGTCAGTTTTGCTACTGGCCTTTATGATTGCAGCATCCAGCTGCACTATTAACTTTGCATTGATTTCCTGTTGCAAGGAACATACTTCAATAAAAGAACCAATCAAACAGGTTGCCAATAGCTGCCTACCTAAGAATAAGCAGGATATGTTCAAAGAAAGCTTTACTCTAGCTTATATTCATTCCTAAAGGCTAAATCTGCTGGGCTCAAAACAAAGAAACAGCATTGTTTCATTTATCAATGTCCTACTGTTCATCTAGAACATCTGCAATAGTTTTGCCTGCAGCACTACCCCATTCATTACAGGCCTCGATAGACTGTTCAATAGGCGCTTTTTTTTTGGTACAAAACGTACAAAAGCATTTTACAAAGTGGACTTTGCCCTGATATGAATAATAAAATAATTTAAAAGTGCATTTTGTTTCAGATTCTCCATTTTCCAAACTAACCTTTGGCAAATGGAAACAAAATGGCAACAGCTTGAAACCTGACAGCTCACTCCATAGCATAAAGCAAGACAGTGGGTTTCTGCAGAATGCTGTGTTTTGCTTGGTTGCCAAAGTGCATTGCCATCTACCAAAAATGCAGTTGATGAAAGACCAAAATGCAGCATGAGCAAAGAGCAAATGTCCACACCCATCAAAAGGAAGCCATGTTGGCTTTGTGCTGAGGAACAGGTGGGATTTAGAAGTCCTAAACTTCCCTCCTCCCTTCAACAAATGAACCCATACAGAAGAGTGGTGCTTACCATCATCCAGATATGCTTGGTCCAGGTTCTGTTCCTGTTTAATAGTGACTCCAGCTGGTAACACTTCTTTCTGGTCACTAACTGGTGGTCCATTTTTTGCTGCTCGCTGGCCTGAGGCTGTCTGCTGCTGAATCACGGTAGGATATGAACTCGGACTTAACCTTTGTGCTTGACTGACCTGGGGCTGGCTGGATCTTGCAACATTGGAAGTAAAATTTTCACAGCACATGATGTGCTGAAATTCTTGGTGACTTCCACACCTCAGCTGCTGGTTGGTTGGAGAATAGTGAATCACTGGAGAAGACTGCTGGTTGCCCGGAGAGTGGTGGAGCACCGCTGAAGTTTGCCCTGGAGAACCAGCGTGCACCAGCACTGACCTATGGGCATCTGAAATAGCAACCGGTGTAGCCATCAAATTGGACTGCTGGTAGCCCAGTTGGCTCGGGCTAAGGCTCTTGCTTCTTTGGTATATTACAGCAGCCGGATTCTGCTGATGGTATCGAGAATCAGGAGAAGAAAGGCCCGAGCGCAACTGCTGGCAAGGAGCCATAGTGGCCACAAGACAGGAAGGGGATTCGGTGGCCATTGTATGCTGCGAATAGTAAGGCTGTGTTACTGTTCCCAGACCACTGTGTACTGTATTGCAGATTAAGGCTGGATCATAGTCATCAATGGGCTCTGTTTTGATTGATGGTACTAGAATAAAGCATGCAAAGGACATTATTCGTAACAAGCTGATAAGAAACAGAGCGGTTTTCCTTGAAGTAATAAAAGATTTAAGCTATTTACAAGATTTACATGTGTGAGCTGTTATCTCGCCAGCGTTGAGTTTAATAAATCACATATATGCAATGACGGCAGAGTCTCTCTTGAAAGCACTCTGTACTAAGTTCTTGAAAATCTTTAATGAACTACTTCACCACAAATTTCTAAAAACTAAAATAAATCAATACTTTAGCTCACATTTTAATTCATTTAACAGCCATTCCAGAACATAAGCAAAATAAGAAGCCATATCTAGGTGTTTCAGGTAGTACTTCTATCTCAAAGGAAGACTGAATAAATACAAATCCCGAGACACATACAACTCCTCATTTTTCATCAAACATTTAACTAGTGACCAAAGGCAGAGCTGAACTATTTTAGAGCTTTCTTTTTAGTTCCATTGCTGTATGTAACTTCTTCAGTACCGAGAGCTGAAGACCCTTCTGACACCATCATTTAAAAGACCATGATTTAGTAGGAGTTGTGTAAATCTTGGTGTGGATAAATGATGGTCCTCTACAGACAAATTCTCACATTTTTAATGATTTTTCTTTTTGTTAAATCTTCCCCAAAACAAAGTACAGAAATACCATACAATAGAAACCACATAATAGTCATGTAACAGGGTTATTTTTTGGAAGCATAAGGATTCCTTCTCTGAAGTGGTCTATTTTAGGGATCGTATTGAGATAGTGTTGTACTTCTCAATATCATTCCATAGCAGAACAATTCAGCAACTAAAGAAAACCTTCCCATTGGTGACACCCTATACAGTTCCTAAATTCAGGGACAGGACCAGAGATTTTCAGGCTGGAGGAGACCAAAATAAGAATCAGAATGAATGCTTGCCCGTTCTTAGCAACTAGTCAAATTAAGACATCATTTTGAAGCTTGCATAAAATCTGGTACTGTTATTTTATGCTTTCTTTTTTCCACAAACACAATACTCCGATTTTCTCACAATATTTTCCCCCAGCCAAAGCTGAGAAATCCTGGGAATCTCATTAGTAATCCTATTGCATTTATTGTGACATGGCTCACCAATTCCCAAGAGGAAGAACATCAGAAAAGCACTCATATTTTTCTCAACCAGGCCTGTTCTGAAGAATATATATTGCTTGTCTTCCTCCATACCAAGCTCTCATTACTTTCCCAGAGCTGATGTTATCTTACTGTCGTATACGTCAGCTGGGAAAGGCAATGCTCACGGTTTTCACAGGGTCACATCATGTCACAGACTGAGTCTGCTCCCACTCAGGCTGTTGGCAAACTTCCATTAAGTGAATGGGGCAGCACCAGCCCATTGCCAAGATAACTGTCCCTTTAAATTTGTGGAAATTCCTCATGATAAATCACTTGCATCCTTTAAACCTAACAGTTGTTGAGTGCTTAGCTGCATTCAGCTGAATTAAATTAGTAAAATTTAGATCATCAAATAACAGCAAGAAAACAACATAGCAGAAAACAGAATCTTGCTCATGAGAACTAGGCAGCGACTTGCTCTGTCCTTGAGAATTACCTGGGTGATAGGTAAAATGCTGGGGTTGGCTTCTTTTTCTTTTCCCATTGATGACGTAGAAATTCACCTTCACAGCTGTGCGAATGTGCTTGTTACGGTACTCTGGTATTTCTACAAAAAGCATGCTCTGAAACAACAAAAGGTGACAATATAGAATCAGCAACTGAGGCTGACCAGAGATGTTTGCGTGCATTTCCCCTGTTACGCATCCAGGCATAAAAGAGAAATCTTCCCATTCGTCCCTATAAATAAGGGTCTGAGAAGAACATTAAAAAAGGGCAGATGGTGAACGATCAGAAGATTTTTGAAACTAGGAAGCTGGTTTCTATGTACTACATCCTCTTTTGTACTTGATGTTGTCCTGAACTTGGAAAGAGAAGTTTCAGCTACAAACAAAATGCACAGAATGGTGATAAATCCAGCAGCACTGTTAGTCACACTGTGCTTGATAAAAACTACGTATTGCAGAATTCTCTCTTTTTGTTAGAATAAACTTGATTATTCTGTAGGCTTTTTACTTATACACAGCTGGATCCCGCTTCCATGGAAGTTAACAGCGAGTGTCCTGTTCTCTTCTGCAAAGGCAGGCATGGCCCATGGCAATGTAAGAGCTAGTCCCTAAATGCACTGAACGCCTACAGTAAGGTCCCATTAAGAAAAGTGAACAAAGAGGCTCATTCCCTTGAAAGATCAATGTTCATTTTAAATACTATAGTGCAAATCCTGTCCTACAAAGTGCAGCGCACCCAAGACTTCCATACAGGCGAAAGGAAGTCAGGACAGCCAGCATCCTGCAGAGGACTGGGCTGATACAATAGAGAACACAAAATCTAGCAGTTATTCAATTTGCTGTGGGTTACTGCTAAATGAATAGTTTCTTTTTGCAACACACTTACTGCTGAAGCATTTGACATTTGTTCATCACAGCAGTAAGATAGCTGCTCTTTCTGCTTTTGAGACGCTCTTTGAAAATTGCCCCTTGAATACAACTTGCTGTCTGAGAAGCTCAAGGAGAGGCCATCCAATGTTTTGCATACTTACAGGCTGGCTCTTATCTTTGTCCACTGTTGCCTCCATTTCCCAGATCTGCTGCCCATCTAGAAGAACATCACAATATTAACTTTACTGTATTTTTTTTAATCCTAAAGCTCAACTTTAAAAAAAGAAGACAAATTAAGAGCATCATGTTAGCAAAGGTCTTAAAAGGGACTTCATTTTGAGCAACTTCACAGCCCTAACCAAATGCAACAGCATTTAATTTAAACACGTCATTGAACATTTTTTTCTCACCAGGAAAAAGCTTATGTACATATTAAATTTAAATGTTTATGTAGAAATTAGCCAAACTGAGGAATGAAATACTTAGCACAGGCGCAACAACTGCTTTTTACCAGACTTGATTTCAGGCAGCTTGACTGACGGAGGGCACCAGAAGGTCAGATAACTCGTTAATGGTCACATTCAGTCAGCAGCTCAGCAAACTTTCTGCTATTTTAAGCTAAGACCACATGGCTGCCCACCAGTGTGGTAAGTGGTGGAATGGGCAAGGAGGTGGAAGAAGGACTAGCTAAAAATCCCGATCTTGTATGGGGTGCATGGAGATGGAAGCAAGCAAATTGAGCCACTTCAGGGGTGAATTTTAGAGGTGCTGCACAGTGAAACTGGCAGATGCTCTGAATTCTCATGGGAGCGCAGGCTTTTCTAGAAGTAGCTCAATAGGGACGGATTCTTACCGTAACTGGGAAACCAGCTACATATGGTGCTTGATTTCTGTTATGCATGCCCTCTTACTATTTATACTCGTTTCTTATATGTGCAATATGAAACTTCAGCACACGATATCTAGCAATACATCTCCCCTAATCAAGGAACAAGCCCAACATCTCCAACAGTGGATCCTGGCCTTAGCACTGCCACCACTGCAGGCTGTGACAGTGTCCTAAAGTCACTATAAAGCATCATATATTCACCGCACTTAGTGTAAAAGCACCTCATTGCATGTGCGACAGTCTCTGAACGACTGGAAGCATTTCTGCTCTTAATTACATCCATGCAGATCGTCTCCGTTCTGAGTTACACAAAATTGTATTTATAGAGGAAAATAACATTTGATCCCCTTGTGTGGAATACCATCAAAGTAACCCCCGTGCTATAAGAATACATCAGTAGTGACAGGACATTTGTACACAGACTGAGTGCTTGATCTGGCTAAAAATATTTCTTAAATCTACTGTCACCCACACTTCCCAGAAACATCTTTTAGCAACGTCTTCCTTATTACTTTTTTTCTTTAGATTTTAATCTCTACTCCTTTGATTTTTGTATTCCACCGGGCCTTTTAACCAAGCAATATGCAGAAGAAAAATACCGATGGGAAAAAAAAATTTGCCTCATACCTTTCTGAAAGCTCAATTTTAAAATGAATAGGGGACACGTCTCCAAACGAACCAACGTGACTTGAAACACTGCAGCCGCAAGGCTGGCGTTTGCTTTAGAGGGGGGGAGGCAGCTCCCGGGCGCGTTTCTGCGGGCCTTCCCCAGGCTGCACGCCCAGGTCCGGCAGGACAGGGGTGGAAGTCTCCTAAAACCAGTCCTTCTCACAGGACTTTTTATTTTTCCCAATTCTTGGAAATTCTGCAAGAGCTGCTTTTGTCCTCTGTTATTTAAGTACTTCTGCTTCTGGCAAAAAGGGAAATGAAAGAGTATTTTTAAATGCATTTTGCATTTTTTCTGTTGCTTTCCTCTTTGTTCTCCGCTCGGCGCAGACAATGAGCTGACAGATGTGCTCAGCTCCCCGGTCAGCCTCTCCTCGAGAGGGACTCACGCTGCTGCTCCTCCCCCAGCACCCTACACCTTAGGCACCTCTGCTGTGGTTTTGCCCCTAAACACACACGAGGGAGAGGAGGGTTTTCCCTGAGCCCATTGCCAACAGTGAGCCCCCTCCTCCCTCTGGACGGGCTCCCCGGGCTGTTTGGGCAGGGTGCCGGGCTTGTGGTGGGGCAGGAGTGGGCACATGGCACTGGCTGGGCCTCCTCGCCCTCTGACCCCTCTCCTGCCGGGGAAGGGGAGGCAGCCGAGGAATGGCTGGAAGCTTGGCGCCGTCCGACATTGGCCCCATCCGCAGCCACCTGAGAGGAAACGCCTCATGGGGGGAGAGAAGAGACAGAGCCCTCCAACACCTCACACCACTACTGCCCGGCACTCGGCTGCAAGGAGGAAACGCTAAACAATCCTGACTTTAAGTGTTTCAAGTTCCCCCACAGCAAGTCAGTTGTCTTTTCCATGCTAACACATGGATTAGTGACGGACTGCGGGAGTGGGGACGGCCTAAGCAAGCTGTGTAATTAGAGCCAGCAAGACTCTCGCCCGATTTGCTGTTTAGCCCTCACATCCCCAAGGACCACTGTGCAAAGGAATGGAAAATGCTCCATTATTTAACAAGCAGCATTCACTTTGGCCACCGCTTTGGGCTGTTGCAGGTTAAATCTCTACCCCTATTAACACATCTAACTCTTCACCATGTTTTCCAATGGTTAAACACCTTGGGGAAGCAGGAAGCCAACAACTACTCGGGGTTTAATCCAGCAAATACTAAATGCATTGTGTGATGACATGGCAGTAAATACTAACTGGAGGGATTCCTCATTTAGGTGATCTTTGTGAAAGGAAACCATCATAGTGTGTGTTAAGAAACCTCCCCACACCCCCCAAAAAAAACCCAAAAGATAATTTTTTGTAGTTCTCTGAGAAAAAGAGGAGGGAAAAGGCAACAACAAAATACGTCATAAAATAAGAGCCCTCATAGAGACATACACCGGGAACTGTCTAAGCAATGCAGTATGAAGATGTCCTGACAACAAGGACAGCTAAGCAGGAATATTTGACATTGGTTTTCCTCCAGGCAGAATGTTTTCATCTTTATTTCTGCACTGCTAAATTCAAACAGGCTGTGCAGATACAAAGAAGGTAAAAATCAAAAGGATTTGTTGGTCCAAAATGCATAAAATAAAGGAGAAAGGGGCCTCCAAGTCATCTGTCGTATTCAAGAGGCCTGTGAAGCATATGCAACCACAATCACAACGCATTTGATCTAGTAACCAAGCCACTGAAATTGCGCTAAAAGCTAATGAAACCAACCATAAAAATCGAATGATGTTTAGGCTGAGTCCAAAGTCTGTGGGAATTACGAGTAAGAACGAGAATAAGCCCAACCAAACAAGAAATAAATGTATTTGGGGTTACCATCCTAATAATGATAGATGCTTCTGTTTGGGTATATTCATGCTCGTGGCAGCTAAACAGGTTTCTAACAAATCTGTCAGCAGCAGCAATCCCTGTTCTTTAAGCACTGAAGCCCTGCTGAATATAACCACTCTGCAGCTCACTCCCTGACCTTTATGCTTAAATATCGTGACGTGGCTCCATCTGTCTCACTGCTTCACTTCTCTAGTTGCGAATGTACAAACTTTAGCTCAAGACAATCAATATTTGCTTTTCCTTTAACCCCTCTGGATATGCACATTATGGTGAGCTTTTGGCAGAAGGATGAGGGAGGCTGTGAATAAAATGAAAAACACAACCGCATTCAGAAATCTTTCTCTACTTTAACCTATACTTATTGCTGGTAACGAAAATAAATGATATGATTGCACACTCAGAAAGTTAATGGAGAGCAGGAGGAATAAACTGAGAAGTCTAAGGCCCATCCGTAGGACAATTTGAGGAAATTTTGGACAGAGAAAACTTGCACCAAACTATCAACACATTTATCACCTTTAGAATGTGCAGAAATTAGAATTTTCTTAGCAAGAAATTAAACTGGTTATTTGAATAAAGTGATCAGCAAAAATGGGATTTTTATTGTAAGGATGTGCTAAAAATCATAATGCTGATATGATGGTAGGGCACAGTCCCAATACAAAACACGCATCGTGATGTGGGTATGCCAAAGTAGGCCCTTTCTCCAGTGCCAGCATTGCAACCCAGATTCTGCCTAAACACCAAAGAGGCATTTTGCTCTGAGCAGGAGGGCTCAACAATCTCCCAAGGTCCCTTCTGGCCTTAATTACCCTGTAATTCTGTCACGCTGCTAACAGGACAAATGACTGGTCCCCTCCCTACCTGCAAACCGAGAAGATTAAGCCCCAGCTTGACTAATAATTTAAACTCTGCAAGTACAGATAGCTGTTTATTGCATATAATTAAACCTGCTTCGACCGTGGAGAGGTAAGAAAATGGCAGTAGAGGAACAGCACCATTTTTGCTGAAGCACTGTAAGAGCACGAGCACACTGATGCAGAGCACGTGTGCTCTGCAAGTCGCTGTCAGTGCTGGGCTGTCCTGGCAGCGACATGCGGCAGCCCGAGCACTGCAAGACTGTCCCAGGAGGTGCGTGGATCACACTGGAGCTTGCTGCCAGGTCCATGTGTGTGGTGTGTCTCAAATTCTACCTCCACATTGGGGAATTCAATCCACACCTCTGAAAAGAGCAGTAGTTCCACTAAAGATGATAAAATACTTTTGGATTTAGACCCTGAGGTCTTACCAGCCATGGCTGCTTCATGCAGCATTTTTACTGTTGTGGTTCCATGCTCATTTAATGGTTTGTCTTAGTTGGCAAGTCTTTAACACCACAGGTCAGTGAAATGTTCAGGAAATAGAGATTTTTGTGCTGCTTCAGGGCTATGAGATTTAGCATTAAACCCTGATGAGAGATCTGATTGTGTCAGCACTCTTTGGAGAAATGAATGAGTTGTTGGAAGAAAGTAATTCTACCCTCTCAACTCAAACTGTGATCATACCAAAAGTCTTGCTTCAAACTTTGGGGAAAATCAAAACGTCAGTCTGCATTAGGAACATTTTGGGTGATTCTCTGCAGCCCCTTATAGGGCTTTTTTTAATTAGCCAATTAAAGGTTTTCTGAATCAGTTACAGCCTTTACACATTATTCACAATCCCTTACTCACGACTTTAGGGTCAGCAACTAGCAGAGAAACAAACTCACCGCTTTATTTGAACAAGCATGACTGATGGACTGAGAGGTTCAGGAAATTTTCTTTGCAGTTCTCTCCAGCTGAAGGCTAAGTATACTATTGTG